AAAAAAAAAAAAGAAAAAGAAACAAGAAAAGAAAAGAAAAACTGACCGTCTTAACCATTTTTAAGTATATAATTCAGTAGTATCAGGTACAACCCCATTGTTATACAACGAATGCCCAGAAGTCTTTCCATCTTGGGATTATTTACCGTGAGGTGTGGTGCGAGGTACATTTCAGTTTAACTGATGGAAGCGGGTACAGGGCATGTCCTGTCACTTCTGTGTATTTTCTAGAACGGGCAGCGACCCGCTCCCTCCGCCACGCATGGCCGCCCTCTGCCTTTCCTGGAGAGGAAGCAGCCACCGCCTGTGGGCAGTAACAGCCCATGGCAGTGCCTGCAGCAGGACCCACACAGCCTTCTGGACACTGGGAAGGGGTGACAGACATGGGGATGGAGTTCCCGGCAGAGAAGAAGGGAAGCCGGGGGAGGGGCGGCCGAATGGGGTTTTGGTAACCTGTCCCTGTTTGCCTCCAGGTGAACATGACAACGGATTTGGAAGGGAGTGACATGTTGGTGGAGAAGGCAGACCGGCGGGAGTTCATCGACCTGTTAAAGAAGATGCTGACCATAGATGCTGATAAGAGAATCACTCCAATCGAAACCCTGAACCACCCCTTTGTCACCATGACGCACCTACTCGATTTTCCCCACAGCACACAGTAGGTGTCTTGCTCGATGCTTTTTACCAGGGGTCAGCAGACTTTTTCTTTAAAGCCTCAGATAGTAAATTCTTCGGGCTTTGCGGCCATATGGTCTGTGTCACAACCGCTCTACTCTGCTGTTGTAGCTGACGGTTGCCGTGGACCGTACGGAAACCAATGAGGGAGGCTGCGTTTCAATAAAACGTTATTTGTAAAAGCAGGCGGCGGCCAGATTGGGTGGCCCTGAGCCACACTTTGCTCTACACCAAAAAGCAGGGAACGGGAAGCGTGGGAGAGCTGAAGGCTGGGTGAACCCGCCCCGGGGGTCTGTACGTAAACGGGGTGCTCACAGTGGCGGCACCTGGGAAGCAAAGCCACTTTCAGGGCCAGAGGTCACTCCCAGAACCGTTCTAGTTTGGATCTAGGTTTGTTCGTCCACTCATTCGTCCCCGCAGCGGGCTGTGTGCTGGGGTGCAGCGTAGGGCAGAGCAGTCGGGCCCCTGCCCACCGGGGCTTCCAGTCTGTAGGTGAGAGAAAGACATCACGTGGGTGATCCCCCAAGAAGCAGGCTGTTACCAGGGAAAGCAGGCTGTAGTCGGGGCCCGGCAGGGCAGCCCCCGAGGAAATGACCGCCGAACGACTAGCGACAGGTCACCAGTGAAAAGGCCGGCCAGGGGAGAGAGGGCACTGCCCGCGCAGTGACTGCCAGCACAGGGCCTGGGGCTTGGAAGGAGGGGAGGCCTCGGGACGAGCCGGGTAAGGCCCCGTGTTAAGGGTCTGGGTCTTCACCGTAAGAGCAGCGGAAGTCACGGAGGGACTTCTAAGCAGAGGATGGCTGGTTAGAGCTGCGTTTGACAGAGACCGGCCTGCTGCTGCACCATCAGGTCAGAGAAGCCCGGGCAGAGTGCCCGTGAAGGGAGGCAACGTGAAAGCTGCTGGTGGCCTGAGAGAGCCGTTTGCGGGGAAGCAACGGCCAGTTGAGCAGGCTGCGGGACTGAGGGGAGGGGAGGGAGAAACAGGAACGACCAGAGGGGCCCGACGGGGTTCTTCTGACACGAAGGGACCAGGGCAGTTCAGGGTGCTGGTGGGATGTGTCTGCAGCACGAGGGATTGAAGAGAAGGATGCGGAGGTTTCCGAGAGGCCGGGAGGCGCCAGGATGGCAAGGCCAGCGTCACCGGGGCGGGGGGAGGGACGTGGGTATCGGCAGGCGTGCTGGCCTGGCCAGCGAAGTGGATGTTCTTCAGGCAGCTCCTGTCTTCCCTTGTGGAGAGCAAGCCCGGGTGGTCGGGGCAGGAGGTGGCCGGGCCAAGTGGACAGAGCAATAGGGGAACAGAGCGTGGCAGACGTGAATGGTGTGGAGGGTAACCGGGCCCCAGGTGACGGCAGGGGGACAGCAGGTTGTTACTCAGGGTCATCCGGGCTGGAGCTTTGCCAGGCTGTTGAGAGAACAAGACAAACTGACAGGCTTAGGACGTTGGCAAGAGAGCGGTCATTTTCCCAAATGATGGCTGTGGGAGGCTTAGCTGTGAAGGGAAAGGAAGTGAAGATAGAGGGGCCAGTGGGGCCGAGCAGGTTGATCACCTCCGAGATTGGTGACTTTAGCAACAGCCGAATGAGCCAGATGGGCCAAAGTGTGGCCAGGAGATGAGACACTTGAATTTGCAGTTTGGGGAAGTGGGGAAAGGGTGGCCAGAATTGACCACAGGCCACTGGGATAAGAAGTGAGGAGCCAGCATGTCTGACCTCTGAAGCCCTGCCTGGTGGGCAGGCAGTGGAGCAGAGGCCCCGGTGCCCGACGGGGAGAGGAGAGGCCGGGGTGGCAGAACGGAGGGAGGAGGAATTTGCAGAGGCTGTAGTAACAAAGTACGCTGAAGGCTGACCCACTTCAACAGCAGACGTCCATGTTCTGACGGTTCTGGAAGACCAAGACCAAACACCAAGATCAAGGTGTTGGGCAGCACTGTTTCTTCTAAGGCTGCTCTGCTCAGCTTCTAGATGGCCGGCTCCTCCCTGTGTCCTCACGTGGTCCTTCTCGACACGTGTCTGTGTCCTAATTTCGTCCTCCTCACGGGCAATTGGATTAGGGCCCACCCTGATGGCCTCATTTTACCTCTGTAAAGATCGCATCTCCAAATGCAGCCACGATGGATTTGGGGGCAGAGTTTACCCATATCAGAGGGTAATGAGGGATATCATTTCAGCCTCTCAACCTGGAGGCACTTGGGATGTGAAAGAACAGATAGTCCCATCCCTGGAAGTCTGCAGGGAGAAGCGGTATGCTCAAGGGAGCACCAGATTTTAGACGGGGTTAGGAGGAAACAGAAATACGTGAAGAGGCTGAACATGAGAGAGACCTTGGCACATCCTGGCTGTTCCTGCCACGGCCAGAGTCTGATTGGGCTGAGTCTCAAGGCTGGACTTGACCTTATCTGGTCTGCAGAAAATGAGTGGGTGGTACCCTAATTACCTCCTCTGATTTCAGTTCTGGTCCTTATCAGTTGATGTTGAGCAAGTCAGATCACATGGCAACAACCACCAATGTCCAGTTCAGAGAAGGAAGTTGGACCCCTCCCTCGCAAACTCTCATTACAGGATTTGTCCAATTTTGGGGTGGTAGGGGTAAGTCAAGGAGTCAGTCTGCGCCACTAAAGGAAGGCAGACTCGGTGATTTTCTGGATAGGACTCCCATGAGATCAGTCTTCTTATATTCAGGGGTGAAATGGGACAATTGTGAACCAGCTATAGTAGATGTGGGAGATGGAGTGGTGCTCTCCAGACAGCTCCCAGTTAGCCCTCTGCACTGTCAATGAGACAGTCATCTGCACAATGTCAGGGCCGTAGCTGAATGACCTCAGGGTCCTGCCTAGCTCTGAATTCTGTTAAGGAAGCAGCAATAGAATGCTTCACTGTACTTGGTGAAGACCAAGCATGGAGACCATGAGCATGAGCCTCAAATTCAGGATTTCGTGTAGATCCAAGAGAATCACTGGCGATTTAGAATTCGGAAAACGGGCCCCGGAAGGAAAGACAGGCCTTTAAGCACACCTAGCTTCCCTGAGAGTAGGCGTAACCCCTAAGGGTCCCTAGAACGGGCTGGGAAGACCATGAGAACAACAGGGCGAGAAGAATGCTCCAGCCCCCACTCCTTCCGAAGACCCCCACCCTTGGGGCTGGGCCAGAGCTGCCCCCACATATAGATGAACAGGTGAAAGCGACCCCACTCCTTTCTCCACACCAGGATTCTAGTGCACAAATTCCTTAAAAGCCATTCTGACAGAATTAACCCAGGGTGTAAGTGTTTGCTCTTCCTGAAACTCAAAACTCAGACCATTTTAATTAGAAAATTCTGCGTCTAAAAGCTTTGGGTTGAATTGTCACAAAACCATATAATGCTTTAAATACATTCCAAAAAGAATACAAAATGCATCGCTTTATTCCTTCAGCTTCCATGTGAAAGCACTTGGCAGTTTGCTTGGCACTTAGTACATGCCCAAAACTGTCGGTATCACCAGCATTATACGTAGTATGTTTTGGCTATTCATTACCATAGAATATGTTTTCCTTTTTCTCCAGGGTGATCAGTCGGTAAGTGTTTATTTCGTGTGCACTGTGTGGCCATTTTAAGTAGTCATGAGCTCAGAAAGGATTCTTCGGGCATGTCTAAGTTCGGAATGCCTGTCGTGGAAAGGACGTTTCGGGATAGCCCTCAGGCACCTGCTTGGCCCAAATTATAGCACACCCATAGCACACATGCGTAATCTCAAAGGAGTAGAAAACTAATATTTTATTTATATTCAGTTATTACATTATTTATAATCAGTAGCAGTACTTAAAATTGAAATCTAAATGTGTTTTACTATCCTGAATGTTAGCATTTGAGGAAAAGTAAGTTTAATTAGAGAACAGAAGCGGGGCACCTGGGTGGCTCAGTCGGTTGAGCGTCCGACTTCGGCTCAGGTCATGATCTCACAGCTTGTGGGTTCGAGCCCCGCATCGGGCTCTGTGCTGACAGCTCAGGGCCTGGAGCCTGCTTCGGATTCTGTGTCCCCCTCTCTCTTTGCCCCTAACCCACTCGCATTCTGTCTCTGTCTCTCTCAAAAATAAATAAACGCTAAAAAAAAAAAAAAAGAAAAAAAGAAAACAGAAGCGAATGAGAAACAGTGTATAAATTCTGAAGGACACTTCATGGTGGATTTTCAAGAGCTCCGTGGTTGAGGCCGCTGTGGCTTTCCTTTTCCTTGACGCTGGTGTCAGCTGCATTTTTAGACTTGACTTTCATAACTAGGGTTCTGTTTTGATTCACAAATGGAGGAAGAAAAAGAGGGAGAGAACTTCTATTTCGTGTAACTCAGCAAGAACGAGGAGAGCAAAAGGGAGGATGAAGGAGGTTAAAGAGGATGTGTGTGTACACACGAAGATGGCTAGTAATTAGCTCTTCGCCTTGGCAGATTCCCGACCTGTCCTCCCTAAAACTTAACACCTTTGACTGGTAAACAGGGACAACTATCCTGTCTCCCTCCTGCGGGTGTTGTAGGACTGAGTGAAAGAGTGCTTGCAAGCGACTGCCACACTTCTCAATAAATGTTGACCACTATTATCCGTTATTACTGGTATTACTGTTCCCATTACTGTTCCCATTACTGCACTGGAACACGTGCAGTTCCAGTGGGGACAAAGAGTGCCAACTGGGTCCAGATACGGGTTTGGCTGGTTCCTCGGCTGTCCCCTAGATGGCGCTGGTGCCCCAGAAGCACAACGAGTTGTCTTTGGTAAGGTGGAGGCGGGAAGCTGCTGTTTAATGTTCCCAGAGTAAACCATACACCACCCCGAACGCTGAGAATGATCAGTGAAGTTGGTCCAGCAGATCAGCGATATGAGGAAATGCAGCGAGAGCCGTCAAGTCTGTTGTGCTATGGAGAACCTTTGCCCATCCTGGGGGAAATTCATCTGAATAAAACTGACTTGAGCAAATGCAGACTTCGCATGAGAAATCCAGGAAATTTAGACCTAAAGTTAAGTTTTCCCAGTGGTCTTGTTTACTAGATTAACTGTTCTCTCCCTTTCTCTCCGTCTTCTCCCCCCTTATACTGCGTTACCCTCTTCTCTTTCCCTTATGCCTCTGTCTTTTGCATGAACAGCGTCAAATCATGTTTCCAGAACATGGAGATTTGCAAGCGTCGGGTGAATATGTATGACACCGTGAACCAGAGCAAGACCCCTTTCATCACGCATGTGGCCCCCAGCACGTCCACCAACCTGACCATGACTTTCAACAACCAGCTGAACACTGTCCACAACCAGGTGAATGGGGAGCAAAGGGGAAGGTGGGCAAGGCTGACTGTGCATCAGGAATTGTATTTTCCCACCAAACCTAGTCAGGAGGCCAAATTCCTCCAGTATCATATAGAAGAGACAATATGCACAAAATTCCTCTACTGTCGTGTTTAACTATGTAAGAAAGTGTTTGCTTCCACGGTTATTTCCTTTGAGAGACCCAGGGACCCTGTAAAGGTACTCTTTCTGAGATAGTACCTCTTAGGGTTTCCCTTGGTCCTGAGGTGGGAATAACATAAAGTCTCCTGCTATAATCCGTTTATGCCTGACACGTGCCTGGTAAAGAATTCTAGCACTGGAAGGGACACTGGCGGTCACCCCATTCGGGTCTCTCCCCCTGTCCCCACACTGCTGGGTCCACATGATCTCCTTTCAGGACAGATAAAAGCTGTCCTTTCTCCAAGTCACAGGGAAAATCAATTCATCAGTCTGTCACCAGAATCCCAGCAGCTGGAATCAGAAGGGACCAGGAGAGTAAGGCTTTTTTCTCACAGATACCCAACTTTTTGAAAAAATTAGCAGAACCCCACACTTAACATGCTGTTTAAAATAGGGGTAACATACTTACTGGAAATACTTAGTGGTTGAATAATTTCCAAATCCTAGTCTGGGCTGCCTCTGCTATTTAAGACACTTTTACTTTTATTCCCAAATTCCAGTCTTATCACTTCCCCCAAAGAAGTAACTGCCCCTAGATTTTTCCAGCCTTGGTATCCGTCTGCAGTGGCCACAACACTCCCGTGTGTGTGTGTGTGTGTGTGTGTGCGCGCGCGCGCGCACGCGTGCGTGTGTGTGTGTGTGTGTGTGTGTGTGTTCTAGAGGAGGAGAGGAGTGTATATGTTCTAATCCCGAAGTATGAATACCTCCGCCTGGCCATCCACTCACTTCTCTGTCACTGAAAAGGCACCAACCCCAGCTTCCAGCCTCTTCTCCCTCACGTCCCCCCTCTCCTAGGCATCCCTCTCTCCCCCACCTAAACTCCAGGAGAGGCCACGTGGAATGTGCCACCTTCGGGACCACTGGTGTCCTTAAAGCTCTCCTTAGAGAGAAGAGCTTGTGCTCTCTAGGACCTGGAGTCCAAAGAAACAAACAGTCCCGCCCAGTGCCTGGCCCTGCACTCAGGCTAAGGTGTCCACAGCCAGACATATGCGCGCCTTGACAAAATACCACCACAGTTTTGTCCTTCAGCACCAGAACCCCATCATGTCAGCTGGCAGATTGGTTAATATTATAAAGAAGTTCATCTAAATTGACGGTGTCAGGGAGGGTTTCAGTGTGGAGCACACGGGCCCCAGGCGAGGCCTTGAAGCAAGCACAGAGGCTTGGAGAGAATGTGCTGGGAGGATTTGTGTGAGTCTGCAGGGCCTGTGCTCTCCGGCTGGTGCCATGAGCACAGAAAGCAGAGGGAGGTAAATTTGGAAGGGAAGGTTGGCCAAACCATGGGTAAGGAGTGCCAGACCCAAACGCGCATATAGTGTTTATTAGACAGTAATTGGAGATTTGAGGGCAGAGGTGACAACATGCACAAAGTAGTCTTTTGGAAAGAATGTTCTAGCCTCAGTGCCCAAGAAGAACTGGAAGGGAGAAAGTGGAGGCCAGAACTTCACTGAGCAGAGCCCAGCCACCAGGGGAGAAACCCTGAGAGTCAGGTTCCAGGGACGATTGGAAGAAGGCAGGCGTAGGGGAGACAGAAGAGTCGAGGACCCGCGTTGGGGACCTGGAGGGTGCCGGTCCCCAAAGAGGGAAGCTCGGGGCACAAGCCGGCAGTGGGAAATGGGGACAGGGCGAGGCTCCAGGAGAGGTTCTCTGGGCAGAGAACAGAGAGGAAACAGTAAGAGAACATAGACGCCGGCCTACACATGGTACGCACAACCCAGAAGCCCAAAACCCACTCTTTGTGGCAATTTGTATTCTAAAACCCAAACGTGTGTGCTACATAATTTAGTGATTACTTTCAAGCAAATTAATTTGCTTAACACTAAAATTGGGCATAAAACCTAGGTACAAAAAAAAACAAAAACAAAAAAACACATAAACTGAGTAGCCTTTGTATCAAATCTGACATGTGTACGTACCCTTCTTAAAACTCTACTTCCGTACTTGTCCAGGATGCCTTGTGGCTCTTTCCTCCTCGTCCATAACCTCTAGTGGCAAAACCTGTGTTAGGCAATGTTGAATTCGATGACCCCGGTAACCTCCACCTATCTTGCTGCAGGATCCGTGTGAAGAAGCTAGAAAATTCCCAATTTAGAGCCGATTTTTCTTCTGTGGCCTTGCTTTCCATGGAAGTTCATTCTCAAGTGAGGTCTCTTTCCGAAAGAGGCAGGAGAAAGAAAGCACATGATTTCAGAATCCATTTAACCCTCTCCATTTAAGTTCCCCTGAGCCATCGGCGTCTTTCCTCTCTGGCCTCCAGCCTACGAAGCTGAACCAGCGTAAGAAGGCCCCAAACTCCAATGAGAAACCCCAGGATCGGTGTGTCCCTCTCCCTGGCTGGCTGTTAATGTAGCGCGTTTATTTGCAGTAACCTGTTCCGCAGCCATCTGAGGGTATCTGTGAACAGTGCTCGCCTCAGACCTGAGCGGGGAAGGCCCCCTTCCGAGGCCCACTTCAGCCTCCCTCCATGTCTGTGTGCTTCCGTGCCAAGCTCTGGGTACCCAGGACGCTGTGCCCGCAGAGGCCTCCTCCTGGCTCTGCCTCCCAAGTGTGGACAGCACCGCAGGCCCCAGGGAAGGGGTGTGTGGACAGAGCTTAGAGGTGTGGGCTGGCAGGCCCATATACGTGCACCGAGAGCCCCCCAAGTCATGGGACACAGCTGGGTCAGGAAGAGAAGGCAGTCGGGGTGAGCAGCAGCCAAGGGATCCAAGAGTCCTAAACTCAAACCCGGCCTTCCAGGTTGTTGAAAGGTAGAAGGGCAGAACATGAACGGTTTCTGGCCTGATTTTTAACTTTGCAGTTTGTAGACTTACGGCACGCAAGCTTCCGTTTGCACTCTGGTCCAGGCCCCACACAGGTTAGGCATTGGCCCGAGTATAAGCACCAAAGGGGATGCTGAGGTGAATGTGGCTGCAGGTGCCTGCTTTTCCCTGAGCCTTCAACTGTGTTTCCACTCCCCTCTGTTTTTGCTTTTTTGGCTCTTGGTTTTTGTTTATTTGTTTACTCCTCTTTGAGTTCATTTATTTGATTTAGACTCGCGTCTCCCAACATGCCACGTCCCTCATTTTTTATTTTTGTTTATTTTTTGTTCAATCCCCATCATTCCTTTAGGCTCCCACCTCCACCAGTGCCACTATTTCCTTAGCCAATCCCGAAGTCTCCATACTAAACTACCAATCTGCACTCTACCAGCCCTCAGCGGCGTCCATGGCTGCAGTGGCCCAGCGGAGCCTGCCCCTGCAGACGGGAACAGCCCAGATCTGTGCCCGGCCTGACCCCTTCCAGCAAGCTCTCATCGTGTGTCCGCCCGGCTTCCAAGGTAAGGCTGAGCAGACCCGGCCCCTCACCTGCTCCTTCCTGTTCCACCTCCAGGGAACCGGCGCCCACGCCTTTCTTTCACGCCCACCTCCCTGGACTAAGGCTGAGGCCAAGGCCCTCTTCATTTCCGAGAGAGCACTGGCATTGCTGAACGTCAGGGCCCCTCTCCTACTCTGGCCAGCCTAGAAACAATAGGACTTAGGCTTCAGCAGCAAGTTGTTTTTCTCCCCACCTGCTGGTGTTTTTGTCCCAGGCCAGCTGTCTGTAAATACCCACGTTGTCTGTGTTCTTCTTGTTAGGCTGATGTCAGCTTGTATTTCCTCCAGTGAAATGTCCTCGGGGCTTGCCACTCTCTGACAGCCAACTGGGTCCAGTTCTCACGAAGAATATGAATCTGTCCAAAAAGGACCTCCCACGCCTGTCCCCCAAATGATTCTTTAGCCATGTACCTCAACACTCTTCTCCTGAAAGTTCTAAGAACCAGCCAGGGTTGACTGTGTACGAGGTCTCGGGGTCTACGGAAAGCTCCGTATCTTTTCCCAAATGTGACACCCTGTGGCTTGAGCCTGTGTGTGGATGCTCAGTTCCAGACAGAGGGCTTCCAGTGGATTCACGGGCTATTCCCCGACACCCCTGCTTTGACATACACCAGTGTATTTTCATGTCAGAAGCTGTCTTTCTGGTGTAATTTGTCAGCATAACCGTTCCATCTTTGGCTTTACAGACTCCTTAATTTGACCTCTTAGTCTCCGAAAACATTCCAAGTTGGTTTCTGTGGCTTTAACATTTTTAAGTTGGAAACTGAAGGGGAGACTTGCAAAGGACCAGGTGATACCTGGCGGGGACTGGTGCAAAGGGGAGATGGGAGCGGACGTAGCTGGCTAGGAAGGTTCTCCGCGTCCGGCTGTTTCCAGCCGCTCACCAACCCCTCTCTCCCTTGCCGCTGTCCGGAACAGGGCTGCAGGCCTCTCCCTCTAAGCACGCTGGCTATTCCGTGCGAATGGAGAATGCGGTTCCCCTCGTCACTCAAGCCCCGGGAGCACAGCCCCTTCAGATCCAACCAGGTCTGCTGGCCCAGGTAATTCCTTCTTTATTATTACTGGTATTGCCATTATCCCTGTTAATGTTGTTCACAAAAGAGATATATCTCTGCTAATTCCCTCCGTGGTAATGAGTTAGGTGCTTGGACTCATTAGAAGATACCAGTAATATTCTGAATGATCCCTCGGTGAATCACCTCCCTATGTTATCTTGCTTATAATTCCAAGAAGAAATTTAGACATAGGGAGAGTCTGGGGAAATTATTATTAACTATTGTGGCTTTATAATGCAAATGAATATGGAAGACATAGGTTTTAATCCTAACTCTACTAATAACTGTGTGACCTCAGGCAAGTCAGTTAACATTTCTTTGCCTCAAATTTCTTTCTTACCAGATAGAAATGATTTTATTTTTAGAGCCAAAAGGAGCCTTGGAGATGTATCTCCTTATTTTATAGGGAGTTGCAAAACCAGGATCACAGAAGCTGTGAGCTGGAACCTTCCTTATCTGTTCACAGAGGTACTCCAATGGTGGAGGGGGAGCACAAGAGTTGAAAGTGGTTGGAAATGCGTAAAGCGTTGTGGAAGTTTAAGGTAACGTAGGGATGCAGTGATAACAGTAATCGATCCTTAATGGCACTTGAACAAATACATCATCATCATGCCAGACACTCTGTTAACTGTTTAATTGATTTAATCCCCACAACAGCACGATAAGTAAGGCATTTGTCTCCAGTTGACAAATACGGAGAGCAGGCACAATCAGTGGCTCAGAGTCCCCCAGCAAATAGGTGCCAGAACCAGGACACGAACCCTGGAGGTCGGATGCTGGCATCTGTATTTAGCCACCGTGCCACATTGCCCCCATACTTTCATTTCTATCACTGGGCGTCAAGGACAGCCTAACCTACATGTTGTCCGTTTAGAAGCACGTTTATTTTTAAATAAGGTAGGTTCCCAAAGCCTTCTCTCAGAGTGTTCCTACGGACACTTGACTTACGGTATCTTTTGTTGAATAGAAGTTTTTGGTTTGGGGGCACCTGGGTGGCTCAGTCGGTGAAGCCTCTGACTTGTTGGTTTCGGCTCAGTTTGTGACCTCACGGTTCATGAGTTCAAGCCCCACATCAGGCTCTGCGCTGACAGCACGGAGCCTGCTTGGGATTCTCTCTCTCCCTCTCTCTGCCTCTCCCCTGCTCACTCATATGCACTCTCTCTCTCTCAAAATAAATAAACTTTATTTAAAAAAAAAGAAGTTTTGGGGGTGCCTGGGTGGCTCAGTTAGTTGAGCGTCCGACTTCAGCTCAGGTCATGATCTCGCAGTCTGTGAGTTCAAGCCCCACGTCAGGCTCTGTGCTGACAGCTCAGAGCCTGGAGCCTGCTTTGGATTCTGTGTCTCCCTCTCTCTCTGTCCCTCTCCTGCTCATGCTCTGTCTCTCAAAAATAAACGAACATTTAAAAAAAAGTTTTTGGTTTTAATTTTAACGTAGTGAAACTGCACAGGTCTGTTTGGGCTCTCTTTTCCACTGGCCTTCCTCATCCTGCCGTCTTAACTGTGATAACTAACACCTGTCTTGCTGTCTGATTGGGAAAGCCTTGTTCCTGTTTCGTTTTTCAAAAGTCCCCTGTCTGTCCTTGTCCCTTCACTTTTCATATGAATTTAAACATCACTGTTACAAACAAAACAGTCATTGGCTCAGAGTCGCACAGCAATTAGCCAACTGTCTTCTCTTTTTTCTTTTCTCTTTTTTTAGCAATTATCTTTTCAAAACAGAAAACCCTGATGTGCATTTACTAGACTGGGGCTAAATCTATATTTACTTTAGGAAAAGCTGACATCCTTATGGCATTAAGTCATTTCAGGCACAAACACGGCATAACTGTATATGTTATCTTTCACTCTTTTTATTAAAGTTTTCTTCTGTTAGAACAGTTCCTAAATATCTTACAGGTTTTGCTATTAATAATTTTATTGATTTTATTTTCCGAGTATTTGGTTTTGGTTTATAGGACTAAAACTGATTTTGGTCTACTGAGTTTGTTATCTGGAAGTCCTTCTAAACTCTGATTAGTTATGATTGTTTCTGGGAATTCCCTTGGATTTCTTCTATGGACCATCTTACTAGCTTTGTTTCTTCCTTTACACTCCTTATTCTGCTGTGCTGCTAGCACCTCAAAACAATGATCACTAACAGTGTTGACACTGGACATCCTTAATTGGTCCCTGACTTTACAGGAAATTCTTCTAGCTATTTGCCATATTTGGTCTGCTATCGATATTGGGTGGAGACAGCTTTCCCAAGCTTGCTAATCTTTTAATGAATATTGAGTTATGTCACACGTTCTTTCTGCATCTGTTAAAATACTTGTGTTTTTTGTTCATTAATCTATTAATGTGACACGTTACATTAATAGGTTCTTAATGTTAAACTATCCTTATATTTCCAAGATGAGCTTTAATCATGTTCGTTTGATATGCTTGTATGCTTTCCAGTATTGGGCTGTTTGTAAATATGTGGTTAGTGTTTTTATTTCTATGTTCAGAAGTGAGAAATGGCATATAATTTCTCTTTCTTATAGAATCCTTATCTAACTTGAGCATTGAGGTTACCCCGTCTCATAAAATGTCTTGGATATTATTAACCTCTTTTTCTGTTTCCTGGAACAGCTTATTTAAGGTTGATATTAACCATTCTTCATCTCTGTTCTTAAATGCAAATTGACTCCACAGTGACCACTAACACCAGCTTCTGGTGGCACACCAAATTTTGTTGCTGAAAATTTATAAACAGAGAATCTTCTGTACTTAAAGCAAGCCTTTTCTTCCCTCTCTCACTGGTCCTCATGGCTTCTTTTTGCTCGCACGGTTTCGTAGTAGGGAGTTCAGAAAAAGCCGAGAAAGATCAAGAGAAGGAACCATAGGTTCACTCTGGGGGCAGCATAGCTTGTTCGTACTTTATCTGAGTGGCAGAAACCCAGACCAGGCTCCCAGTGCTCCTCCTCTGTGAGCCAAAACCTAGAGAACTCACATGTACTTACAGATCTTTTTTCGTTGGCGCACTTAACCCCGGTAAGCCAGAAATCATTTCTGAAAGAAACAATAATTAGCATTCTTATTAGCTAACCTCAGCTTTCTCCGTTGTTCAGTTTGGTGCAAACCAACAGGCTCAGCATTTCTGAATTTGTTTGTGTTTTAATCGTAGCAGGGAAGAGCTTTGCTTTTTTGCCCACTTGAAAAAGAGTCCCTAGAGTGCTGTAAATCTCCAAGCGGGCTTAACCCAAAGCTGTAATTCGGAGCGGGAATAAAAATTACATGTGCAAAGATCTTAGTCCCTGCAGTGTTTATAACGGGGAGCTGCTGGAAGCAGTTTGAATGTCCATCAGTAGGAGATTTGTTAAATAAATGGATGTGTACACAAAATGGAACGCCACATAGCCATTAAAAAGGACACGGAACACCAATGCGCCCCCACATGCAAAGATTTCTTGTATTAGGTGAAAACAACTTCCTGCCCTATCCAGGATCACGTTGTGTCTTTCTGTCGGTTGGTTGCTTTTTCTTTCTCTGTTTGTCACTTAATCCATGCCAGTGTGTTAGTGTAAAGGGGGAGCTCTCTCCTAGGTATTTTTAAATATCCCTTCAAAGGACAAAAGTAAGCTAACTTATAAAACTAGTATGGTGGCTATAAAAAAGCAATAACTAAACATTTAAACTAGTGCCTTCATTTTTCTCTGGGTAAATTTCTAGGTATCAGGCAGAGGCACCCCAAATATTATTCTTTACTTTAAACATAGCTGAAAAGTGGGCATCATTCTTTTTACAGATATTTAAACCTTAGGAGCGCCTGAGTGGCTCAGTTGGTTAAGAGTCCGACTTCGGCTCAGGTCATGATCTCCTGGGTCGTGAGTTCAAGCCCTGCGTCGGGCTCTGTTCTGACAGCTCGGAGCCTGGAGCCTGCTTCATATTCTGTGTTTCCTTCTCTCTCTGCCCCTCTCCTGCTCATGTTCTCTCTCTCTCTCTCTCTCTCTCTCCCCCTCTCTCTCTCAAAAATAAACAAACATTTAAAAAATATTAAAATATTTAAATCTTTTCAAGGTTTTTATTTGTGAAGGTTTAGGAACGGAGTCATTTGAATCCATCCCACGTTAGTTTTGTTTGCTTTGCTTTTTCCTCCCCACCTTCCAGCAGCACCCCATGTCCTTTGAAAGGAAGCAGTCTCTCCGGGGTTCCCCAAGGATGTGTGCGTGGGAGGCCGGAGTGAAATCACACCCTCTTGTTTACATGATACGGGAGTGATCTTTACCAACTGTCTTGCCAGTCCCAGCCTTGCTGGTACTACCCACAGGGGGCTGTCCCCTCTGTCGTCCCATGCCTGGGGCCTGCGCTCACACCTTGACCACCATCAGAGATTGTGGATAAGTGGATAAAGGCAGAGAGATGGAACATACAGCTCTTGATTGAGACAGTATTGAATTTAGCTCACTTTTCAAGTTGGCAGGATCCAAAACCCCCTTGGACTCGCAAGGCTGGAACAGAAATTCAGAGCGCCCCCAAGAGGTGGAGGTTTGCCATATCCTTCTAGACCCCAGCCTTTTGAAGGTCTATGCATGCTTCTAGTCCTAGCACCCGAATCCCTTTAAATGTCTCCCTGGAACTTTTTCAGCCGTCCAGATTACAAAACTTCAGTGCTTCTCATTCATTACCTCCTCTGGTAACATTTTCAGCAAGCAGTCCCTCCAGCCATTCTGTCTTGCTATCTGCTTCTGTCTTGCTTGGTGCCTGGGTTGTTAATGAATAAGGAACACTTTTTCATGTGACTTTTATGCCTTCATCACCAGCCCTGATCCTGAATAGAGCCATCGTTTCTGCGCATCCTCTCCATAAAGTAAGGTAGTAAACTGGTGAGAACATGGGCTCTGAAATTTGATTGCCTGGAAGTCAGAGAAGCCAGTCCCACCGCTTACCAGCTACATAACTGTAGGGAACCTACTTTTGAATTTAACATTTTTTTCAAATTAACACATGTACCTAATTTTTAA